TCGATGTGGCTGTTCCTGGTGACCAGATTGTCAAGCTCAAAGAAATAGAAAAGTCTCAAATGTACACTGACTTCCTGATCGACGATACCAGAATGTAAGACGTTTAGGCCACTATTGTCCCATTTGTATTTGGGGTGTTGGAGTCTATACTACCAAATCTAGAGACCCACATTAAGAAATAAACAAATAAAGCTTAGTATGCTATCACTTCAGAAGTCTGCGTTGCTTGTCATACGAGTTGATGGAGAACGTCCATATTGAAAGATCTCCGGTTGAAAACGAAAGCAACGCGCAGAAGAAGAGAAGAAAGCGAGATTCTGTATCAAAAGGCGCCCATAAATATACGAGTGCATTCAGGTTAAATCTTGAAATTAGACGTGAAGTCGATATAACTGCCACAAAAACAGAACTGAAACAAGAAATGAAATAGCTACGCCATACGAAAATAGAAGTTAGCTGGAGTCAACCCCCCCCCAAAAAAAATCCTCTATAGCCAGTTTATAGCAAGAATGCTGATGTCGGTCACTCCTTCACCTACCGGTAGCTAAGGCGTATAGGACCTTAGGGTGAGACTGAAACGTTTACTCTTGCTCCACAGGACCAGGGTATGCTTACACGAAACTACCAAAAGTAATATTTTTCATAATAGCACGGACCTCAAAATCTAAGTTTTGCGATAAACATATTACAATTATTGCTCAGCTTATCCTAGCTGCTCAATACTCATACCCAGTGAGTACAAAAATCGTCATGACAGGGTAGGTCAGTATCTGCATGTAAAGTTCTGCCCTCATTACGATAAACAACTGCAAATTGGTATGAACATTGTGTTGTTCATGATGACGGTCGTCTTTGAGTATAGAATCCAGAGGTTAGCAGTGAATGTTTCCAAGACAGTAGGAAAGCGTTGTTCAGGTTAGCAGTGGATATTTTGGTAAAAGTAGCAGAGCGTAGTTCTTCCTTCTGTTCCTCTTCGCCTGACAAACTGGACTGGACATTCGGGTAGAGTGAACAAAAATGGCCGCCTTTATACACGACGGATTGAATGTTCTACGTCTTCTGATTGGTTAACCTTCTATTGGTGGACTATAAAGTGAGTCAAGTCATTTGGGCTAGCTCACTAGTTACATAATGTATCCCAAAATTGTAACACATTGTAGTTAATCTGTAGTTAAAGGAGCAGTTTTCTGTGAACACAAATCGAACAATACCAGCGGCTGCATGAATTCAAAACAGTTAAATGTAACCGCCTCTTCTACACCAGCAGTTTCTCCTCTCACACTTCCCGACAGTGGAACTCCCTTCCTCTTAGTGGCTTCCCTGATAACTATAATGTTCAAAAATTTAAATGTAATGTCAATCGATATCTCCTGATGCCTGGATCTTCTTTTTATCCTTTCCTCACCACCCCCATACCCAGTGTTTACACTTACTTGCACTCTCTGTAACCCCTTGCGCACTAGGGTAACTCCCGCCTTGCTTAGGGTGAAATGCTTATAAAAAAATTGCCCAAACATTATTGCCAAAGACAGAAAAGAAAAAAAATTACACACTTATTGACATGAGCATATCAAGTGATAAAACAGCTCTGAGAAGGATTTTGCAAAACTGATCAAATACAAAAACCTAGAGATGCAACTAAAAAAAAAAAAAGTGCTACTGAAAAACTAAAACTGTTCCTGGTGTGGTTGAAGCTTTGGGTCTGATAAAGAAAGGAACTCAACAACAAATGAATAAAATCCTTGCTGTACTATCTCTCCGGGAAATCCAATAAATAGTTCTACATAGCACATCCCATACCCTGCGAAGTGCTTTGTCTATTTAAGTTTTTTGTTTGTTTATAGCTGTCTTTTGTTTAATTAAGTAGGAACAACAAAATATCGCATCCTTTGCGGTGCCCTACGTCATTGGGTGTGGCCCGACATTGGATTATAAAACAAATACAGGTCACAATAATTTTTTATAATAATAATAGTAATAAAAACATAGGGACCCTGTTCAAGAGATAGTGATTGATAGTAATAAAGTAGTAATAAAAGAAAGAGAGAGACAGAGAGAGAGAGAGAAGGAAAAATAAAAAATGGGAGAGAAAGAGGTAAAGACAAGAAGAAAAATGAGAATGACAGAAAGATATAGACTAGAGATAGAATATATATATATATATAAGTGAACATTGAAGTCAACACTTAGAGGCGACAGTGTGTTTCATGCTAGATGCAATCGTCAGGTGGCCTGATGATTGCATCTAACATGAAACAGACTGTCGCTTGTAAGTGTTGACTTCAATGTTCACTTTTATATTTGCACATGCTCTATCTCTGATATAGGGCATTTTATCCCATAAATATGACACATCTTAAGACTATATTTCTTTTTATATATATATATATATATATATATATATATATATATATATATATATATATATATATATTATATATATAATTATTTATTTAAAAATATGATTCCAAAACGCTACATAAGAAGTCTCATGTTTCAAAACAAGAGCCGAAAACTTCAATATAATTATTTAAATTAAATTGACTTAAAATAAGCTCTGTTCCATCTTCAAGCGAAATTTTTTTGGGAATAACGTATATCTGAAATTTACGTGTTCTAAAAAGTGAAATCAAAATTTCCATGGTAACAGCTAGGGCGAATTGTTTAAATTGGGTAGGCGAGTGTTGGGTGTTAATAACAAGTATCAGTATAGAGTTACTTTCATAGATGTCAAGTCAGGGAAAGGTAGGGGTGTCTAAATTTTAAACGGAAGATGTATTAACCCTCGTCTAGTTTGCCTGTCTATGGAGATTTATTTATTTTTTTATTTTATTTTTTTATGAAAGGGATTTGTGCATATAAAAACTGTCGTAACGTTTGTTTTTTGAGACTTCATAAAGGGTTATCTTTTTTGTAGGGTATTTAAACTATTTATTTGGTCTATGGATTATGAAGGGTGTTATATTGTATGCATGTTTTTACTTAATTATTCAAACCATGAATCTGATGATTGGGCTATGGATTAAACAAGTTATTATATTTTATTTTTTTTTTTTAGCTAATAATTCAAACCAAAAAAATCTGATGATGTCTACAAAAACCGTTAACTCATGTCTATTGTTTAATAGATTATTATTATTTAGAAGCTTAATAATGTGCAATTTTTCATGGAGGCACAAAGGGCATGGGTCATCCCAAGTTTTACATGTTCTAGCCTTGTTTATAATTTTCCATTTAACTTTAGGTGTCCTATTTGTTTCCTTCAGATGCCAAAAATATTTAGATAGGGAAGTCTGATTTCTTTTGTTTATATTATTGAAAGAGCACTTATGCTGCCTTCATCTATCTTTAAAATCATTCTTCGTGGACCCAATGTATATCATATTAGTGCTCGGGCTCTCAGTGGATGATATAGTACATTGGTATACCACAGATTTAATGCAGCATTTATTTTCTAATGGGCAGTCTTCTAGGTTTCTACAGTTACATAATTTTTCCCTTTTATTGTCTGATTTAAGTGCAGGGTTTTTATTAATACTGTTTAGGCATGGGGGTTTGTTCAAGATCTTATTATTGTGTTTTTTGTATTATACGTTCAAGATTTTCAGAGCAGCTGTAACTCAATTTTAGGGTGTTCTTATTGAATATATTACTAAGCTTACTATTGGTGGGGAAGTGTTTATCAATTAGAGCTAAGAATTTCTGTCCTAGTTTAATACTAACCATTTGGTTGAAATGATTTTTCTTTTCCTGTTTTTTTTTCCCCATTGCCAGTGCAATTTTCTCTATAGTTAATGTTAGCATTTTTATAACCACTATTTTTTAGGGCAGTGTTATAGAAGCCGTTGTGTTGTTGGAATATTTCCTTGTTAGCGGAGTTAATGCTAATTCTATTTTCTATTGATGAGGGTATCTGTTTAATTATGGATGGAGGATGGTTTGACTTCGGGTGTATATATAAAGGGTTAGCATTTGGTTTGCTATAAGGTTGGTATGTGTTGCCTGGTAAGTCTAGAGTTACGTCGAGGAAGTTAACCCTTTTCAAATTAGAAGAGACAATTATCTTTAAGTTTAGTTTTTTAAATTCATTAAATATAATTTTTCTGATTTTTTCAATCTTAAAACTAGTAGAACTCCTCACCACCATGAGCCCGTCATCTCTATACAGTCCGATGTCCTTAATATCAATTTCGCGGTGTGCCGTTAAGTTGTACAGTATTAGAAGACCAACAAGGTCAGAAGACTCTGCAGAGTCTAAAGATCCCATAGTGATGTCAAACAGGTCGTTGTTTTTTATCCATTGGTCCCCATTATGAATGAGGACCGATTTCTTTGCGCTGAGGATTATATCTGTTTCTTCCTTTGTCAGGTTAGAATACACAGCAGCAAAGTCCAGGGCAGTCGTAAATAGATCCTTCGAAATTGATGGGTAGTAATCCACGATATCGAACTGTATAAGGGTGCAATTCGGTTTATCATCAATATTGTTAAACCAATTGATGACATCTTTAGTATTGATCCATAATTTTAATTCCAGTTGTTTTTTTATTTGGCAGGTAATTTTTTCCAGGATCCTTTTGCTGATCTTTCCTATGTCGGGTCGGGTAGGGTTAATTATTCTTGTTGCAGGGTTTTCTAAAAAGTCAGGCTTATGGTCCTTAAGAGTTATGTAACATTCTTTTTCAGCAAGTTTACCTACTCTATGGCTGATTTTTAATTTATCAGTTTTTTTTACTAGTTCTGTTTATGCTATCGACCATATTAATGTTGTTGTTGCAAGCTTTTTTATAAGTTCTGGTTAAGTTTTTTTTAATTAAGTTGTTGTAGTCATCGACAGCCAATTTGTAGAAGTTGCCGGTTTTGTCAGACTTAACTAATATTTTGTCACATTCATTAATGCTTTTAACTATTTGGTCTAGATGTTTTTGGAAGTGGCTTTTCTTTTTTTGAAAGGAGATGTTTTTGATAATGTTGAGTAGGTCTTTTTCAAATTCATATACAGAGGGTGAGAGAGGGGTAAGGAGACACAAAGACAGAGAAAGAGAGTAAGAAAGATTGTAAGACAGCGAGAAATAGGTAGGGAGACAAATAGAGATAAAAAGAAACAAAAAAGAGATAGATTTAAGGAGAGGAGAGGAGAGAGTGAAAGAGACAAACAAAGGGTGGGGGGTAGAGCAAAAGACAAAGAAAAACAAGAGACAGAAAGATATAAAGAGGAAGCTTGATTATATATATATATATATATATATATATGAGAGAGAGAGAGAGAGAGAGAGGGAGCGAAAAAGATGCAGAAAGACAGACAGAGATATGCAAAGAAAAAGAAAGAGAAATAGTCGGAGAGAAAGGGACACATACAGAAGTACTGAGACGATGTCAGATAGAGAAAGAGAGTAAGAATGTTTGAGAGAGAAAGAGAGAGAGATAGGAAGGAAGACAGAGATAAAAACAAACACCAAGGCAGGGACATGCACACAGAGATAAATACAAAAAAGTAGGCAGAGAAAGAGAGAGGGATAGGGAGAGAACATCATAGAAAGGAGCAGAGAGCGAGAAAGAAGAGAGAAACAAGGAGAGAATAGAGGAAAAGGCAGATATAGAAAGATAAAGGCAGAAAGGGAGATAAACACACACACACACACACATATATATCAATCGGTAATGATAAAAAATGTGAAGATGTTCAAAAGGGGGTGTAAATAGCCCATGATGTCGTCAATGCTCAGTCACGAGTAGACGACCACGATATCTATCTATCTATCTATCTATTATCGTCTGTTCATTATCTATCTATCTATCTGTCTATCTATTAGAGTCTGTTCATATCTATCTATCTATCTATTTAATACTGTCAGTTCATATCTATCTATCTATTTAATATTGTTAGTTCATTATCTATCTATTTAATACTGTCAGTTCATTATCTATCTATTTAATACTGTCAGTTCATATCTATCTATCTAATACTGTCTGTTCATATCTATCTATTACAGTTTGTTCATATCTATCTATTTATCTCTGTCTGTCTGTCTGTCTCTCTCTCTCTATATATATATATATATATGATTTGAGTTAAAAAAAAAGATCCTGGATGAATAATGATAATTTTTTTCTATATTTTTTATTTATTTTTGCTTACACTTCTCCATCCCGAGTTCAGGTACCATAACTGAATAATTGTAGTATGGTAATATATTACGAACATTTAAAGAGACCTGGCGGTCGAGACGAAGGTAGTGTGCCATTATATAAGGTGCTTTTACCGCTTTATTTTACTTACTTTACTTGCCCTGCTTGTCTTTTTTCAGGGCAGCTACATTGAGCACTATTCTATACGTCCGTTTTTTGGTACAGTATTTTTCCGGCCTCTTAACAGATTTAAATATCTATCTATCTATATATTATATATATATATATATATATATATATATATATATAGAGAGAGAGAGAGAGAGGGGGGAGAAAAGAACTTGTGAGTGTTTGAAGAGGAGAAACACAAGAAAAGAAGAGGAAGACAGCGAAAACTTTCCGATGTTCACTGTACGCTTTTCATCGTCCACCTAAATTTATTTGAACTGGCGCCGTTTGGTCACGGAGAGAGGTCAGTATAGTTAAACAGACGTCGGTCAAATCGAACATTCATGATCGATCACTTATCACGTGTGTTAAGTCAGGTCTGTGGTCTGGGGCTAAAACCCATTTTGACTTTTCGATTGATAGACAAGAGATGTCGACGAAGGAGCAACGGATCGGTTACTTGCTTATTCATGAGAAAGTGAAACGTCGATTCTTATTTTCGTTATTAGTCAAGATGCTTTTCGTTTTAGAATGAATAGCAATTGACTATTCAAGGATTTATTCAGCACTCTTTTCTTCTTTTTTTTTCTTCTTTGAATATTTTCCCGATTTTGTAATATTTTTCTTAGCATCTTCCTAGATAGTAAAATGTATTCATTACATTAATAATAATGTTAGGTTCGACAAAGACGTGTTTTCTCAACGGTTTTTTTTAAAAAAAAACCCTCTCAAATAAAAGATTTCTGTGAGAATTAAATAATCCATCAGGATATTTTTGGAGGACGTAAACTTAACAACGTACGTTACGCAGATCATCATCATCATCATCATCATCATCGTCGTTGCTATTGATATTATTATTATTATTAATATAACAATTCTGTTTGTCCCACCCAGCACGTACGTTTTGTCCTGCGACGAATATCCCATAAATAATCGACCATTCTGTTTTGATCGCGTGGAAAGACGAAAAAGGCATATATTGGTTTCAGTAAGAAAATGAAAGAAAGAAAGAAGGGAAAACAGAAGAGGTGATAACAATCGAATGAGATAAATGTTGGTTTCGGTGAAATGGAAAAAAAATTTTCAAATCTTTTCATATATATTTATGATTTTTATTGAAATATTTTGTTGAAGTTGTTAAGCTCAAATATTTAACGACGCGATAGAATTTCTGAAGGTATTTTATTGTTGTAGAACTAGCCATGATCATATTCAATCATTAACTGAAGAATTAAGATTTATTAGAAAATTCAAGAAGGAAAACTGTGAAATTTTCACAGTTATTTCTAGTTATTATTATTATTATTATTTTTATTTCCTTTGATTTCTGGCGTTTACACATTTCTTTCCGGGTCCCGCCCAGGGACCTAAGGTTAGAAATGGCTTCATGACACTTTCCACTGACAAAAAAAAAAAAAAAAAAAAAATTACACAGATAAAGCCCTTTGTAAAGTGTGGGCTGTACTTGTCAGAACAATTTTTGTATCTCTTTGAGGCATGGACTTCCAGGAATCCCTTCAGTTAGTCTACTGCAATCTTTTCCAACCAATCCTGGGGCTCCAACTACAACAGGAGTTGATGATGTTCCCATATGCCACATTTTTGAGATTTCTATTTCAAGGTCCTTGTATTTTGACAGCTTTTTGAATATCTTCAAAGATGCAGTGCAGTCTGATGGGACTGCTATATCAATAAGGAGGCACCGTTTTTGTTTGTGGTCTCTAATAACAATGTCTCGGCGGTTGGCTTTGATTGTTCTGTCAGTGGGTATTAATAGAATTGTAACAGGTCCTATCTCCGTGACCGGCTCTGGGTGGTGTTCATACCAGTTTCTTTTATTATTATTATTTTATTTCTTTTGATTTCTGGGGTGTATTTATTTCTTTCCGGGTCCCGCCCAGAGACTTAAGGTCAGAAATGGCATCATGACGTTTCCCACTGAGTAATTAAAAAAAAAAAAAAAAAAAAAAACTAAACAAAAGAATCACATGCATATTTTACATAGATAAAGCCCTTCGTAAGGTGTGGGCTATACTCGTGACAACAACGTTATTTTATTATTATTATTATTATTATTATTATTATTATTCCTTAATTAATTAGCGCGTACGTTATAACAAGCCAATACCTCATAAATAATGGACTATTTCGTTTTGCGCCCGAGGAAACATGGAAAACATTTGGTTACACTGAGAAAAAAAAAAGAAAGTAAAAGAAAGAATAAGAAGATAGAGGAAGCGATAACGCTCACATACGTTAAAATTCTGCTTCAGTGAAATAAAAAAATATCTGTACCTTCTCACTTCTTTAAGTAATGACCTGCATTCATATTTATGATTGCTATTGTCATATTTTGTTGTTATGGCATCCATTACAATGCCAGATCCGTACTCCAGTCGCCTTGCCATATGTAGCTCAGCCTGTGTTCACATAGACTTACCAGATATCATAGCAAAATTCATATCGTTCTGGGCATTTCGTTGACATCAAGGTACGGTAACACTACGTAACATTACATTTGCATGCTTCCACTCTCATATATTTGTGTATGAAACTTTGATTTCTTACTTAAGTCCCTGTCAAAATCGATCTCATTGCATTAATGAATAGTCTGAGAGGCAAACACTCTATTCTACTACAACAGACGCCTAAAAGACAATTACTATGTTTAGCTTCTTATAGAGAAAACAAGAAGGAATAGGAATGTAGTGGTAATGTAGAAACTATTTTGATACGCATCTCTCTATAGTTTGACATTCTATTTCACTTGGTTAAGCTTAGATTCGTAAATGGTTATAAGTGCGAGGAAGCCAGTGAAAATTGAACTTCCGACTCAAGAGTAATAGGTTTTGAAATGACACACCTAATATGACTTGCTTAAAATTTTAGCACTATCCTTGGGTTCATATCACTTTTCTTTTTCTTTTTTTAATCCCTAAATCACATTTAGTGTTGTGGATTCCGAGATGAAATTCGGTCTCCAATAAATGACAAACGCAGGAATTAAATATAACAAATTAAATGTATTTACCCAATAATACAATGGGTAATACTGTTAGTAAATCCAGGAACTGTTAGTAAATCCATAATAATAATATATATATATATATATATATATATATATATATATATATATATATAGTCTCGAAGTAGGACTTCCTTAGAGTCTACGTGCTTGTAACTGACTTCTACAAGCGGTTACCTCACACTATTACTCTACCTCCAACTCAATCACAATCTCTGCTCACTCTCCCTCTCTATATTCTGACTGACTCTGGGTATTTAACGGCAGCAGTCCAAGTAACACTCTGGTCGAGTCCACTTACATAAAAAAGGGGAGGACCCCATAACATTTAGCCTATCGGAAAATGGTGAAAATTTGAAGCAATTGAATGCCTGGAGTATGTACCATTAATTGGCAAGGTGATTAAATTAAAGACATTAGTTCCATTTCATCCTTAAGCGAAGAAATGGAACTAATGTCTTTAATTTAATTACAAAATTAAATTCGTGGCTTTTAGCTTCCATTTTTGAAACATGGTTAGAACTGTGTAGCGAAAAAAAAACATATTTTAAATCAATAATATATATATATATATATATATATATATATATATATATATATTAATAAATACACATATACCTACGTTTGTAGTGCAACTTAAAGTTTCATGGATCGTTTCCTAAGCCGTCAGGCACATATAGCAAATGAGCTGCTTATTACAGTTGTTTTTTTTTTGTTTTTTTTTTAAATATTGGGTCTCATAAAAGGAACGCTAAATTATACGCAGATTCAAAGCTCAAAGTTAATATAAACACAATATATTATTAGCGGGGTGTAAATTCAAAATATAGAGTGTATGGAGGGAGATATTGGGAAAAATAAAGCAAAAAAAAAAAAAAAAATAGAATGAGGCAAGTTTATATGGCACACGTTTTTCCGTTGGGGGAAAAATGAAGTTAAAAAATTATAAAGCGTAAGGAGCAAGCAATATGAATAAACAGGGTGTGGGGTAGGCGTATTGGATTGCATATTCATTATAAATAATCTGTTTCAAGGGAGTAACATAGCACAGTATATAAAGTTAACGTTTAATAACATTAGGATATAAATTAAAAAAAGTAAAAAGTGTAATTAGACAGAGAAAGTAAAAGTGAGAAAAATAAAAT